CAACAAGTGTATTCCCTCACAGATGGGATTTCAGCCAATCAGTCTGGCTGCCACTTGGACTTCGGAGACAATTCAGGCACTTTGGCAGAGGAACATGCACAATATTTAGTCCATTCAGCATGTTAACATTTTTATTTTATTTTGTTGGATTGTGAATGATGGAGGAAATAAAGATAATTTGTTCTCTGGGGCAGATAAAGCAACTCCACAAACCTGGTGTATCGTTATGGAGGTATTTTGCAATGCCACCTTGGATGAGATCCAGGATTATCCTATAGGTATAGCTATGGTTTTCCCAGTAGTGATGTATGGAAGTGAGAGCTGGACCACAAAGAAGGCTGATGGCCGAAGAATTGATGCTTTTGAATTATGGTGCTGGAGGAGACTCTTGAGAGCTCCATGGACTGCAAGAAGACAAAACCTATCCATTCTGAAGGAAATCAGGCCTGAGTGCTCACTGGAAGGACAGATCCTGAAGCTGAGGCTCCAAGACTTTGGCCACCTCATGAGAAGAGAAGACTCTCTGGAAAAGACCGTGATGTTGGGAAAATGGAGGGCACAAGGAGAAGGGGACGACAGAGGATGAGATGGCTGGACACTGTTCTCAAAGCTACCAGCATGAGTTTGACCAAACTGCGGGAGGCAGTGGAAGACAGGAGTGCCTGGCATGCTCTGGTCCATGGGGTCACGAAGAGTCGGACACGACTAAACAACAACAACAAAGTGTTAGATTGGTGGAGAAGGACTGGGGAGACCCAGGGTCAAATCTCAACTCAGGAAGGAAGCTCTGGGGTGACGCTGGGCTAGTCATCCTCTCAGGCTTACCTACCTTATAAGGTTGTCATGAGGTTAAAGTGGTGGTGGGAGGGAGAGAACGATGTATGCCACCTTTAATTCCATGGAAGAAGAAATGTTGGATATCAGTGTCATAAATAGATGAAATACGTAGCGCTGAAAATGTCTGTCAGTCATCAGGCTATTAACATAAATTCAGTAGTGTCTATGTACAATGACTCTGATAGTTTTGCCATTTTAAAGTTGCCTGTAGTTGGAGCATCAGATCATAACCATGCAGATGCGTGTCCATTTAGCCAAAGATTTATAGTCATACAAACTCACTCAAAAGGGTTTGCCCCAAGAGGGGCCAGAAAACAGGGCATATAACCCTATGAGAAAGATTTGTGTGTTTACTTCCCAGCTCTGTGAGCCTATACGGAGGACAGTTCAGTGCAGAGTTAAATGAATTCAAAACAAGCCATTTTGGAGCTGTCAGAGAAAGAAAGTTGCGAACCAAGCTGAGAAAGCAGAAATTTGCGATAGCTTTTAAAAAAGAAACAAATATGTCTGATGCATTTAACAAAATCTGAAAAAAGATGGAACCCCAACTGTGCGTGAATAAGCACGAGATTTTACAGATGGCAGGAAGAAACTGTTTCTAGTCATTCCTGCTAAGTGGTTTGAAGCACCGCATTCTACAGATTGCCTTTGAACCTGAAAGATGCCAGCTGTGTTGTAATTAACATGGAGTGAGTGGTACAGAAAATATGGCTGTTGTTTGTTGCCTTTAGTCCCTCCAGAGATGGAAGGGGCCAGCAGAAACTAGACAGTCAAATTTTCAACGATTCACAATCAGGGTTTTTTTGGCAAGAAGATTCAAGGGTGATCAAAGAAACATTTAAACTTTTCTTCTTTCTGCTTTTCTTCTAGAAAAAAAATGTGCCTGTACTCACCATGAAGTTGTTATAGCAAGCGCCCCATTTTTAACCAGTGCTTTTCTTCTTGAAAAGAAAGCACTGGGTGAAAACAAACACTGATTCCTGATGTATCTGATGCCAATGACTTTGCAAATAATTGGATGCATCCTTGAAGTATGGTAACCCATGTTTTTTTAACTGCATCTATTTTTATTTAAACATGGGCATGCTCGTGGCGACACTAAGATGTAAAATGATGTGGAAAGGCCATACCAGAAAATGCAAATATATAAGGAAAACATTTGCAGGTGATTATAAAACAACCTTCTTCCAAACCAGAATCTTTTGACTAAATAAACAGCTTCAGCTTTCTCTCTGGTTGTTCCTCAGCATGAAAAGAATGATAGAGATCGCTATGTAACCCAAAGTACAATCTGTGGCTGAGACGATCTCGCTTTTGCAGCTGTTTATTATAAATGCATTTTCAGAATGCCAGTATTCTAATGGTGCCCACACAGCCGTATCCACAAAATGACTGCCAATTTCCCCTCTTTACCAAATACCTCTCAAGAGCATTTTTGTGTATTTTTGCAAAGTGGCCATAATTTAGGATGGATTCCTTTTGAGGCGTTTCTCTTAAAGCTGTACATCCACGTACAGGCTGCATGAAATAATGCAAACACTACTTTATATTCATAGACTATTGATGGTGCTTCCAGACAGGGGCTTACAATCACAAACAGCCCGTTTGGATATCACAAACTGGCAATCCACAACATTCCTGGGCTCTTAAGGGACTTCTAGACCAGGGCCATAATATTGCAAATGTGACAATCAGACACTGCAAAACGGGTAATTCCCAATAGCTTTTTTAAAAAAACAAAAATAAAAAAAACCTTAATGATTTCCCACATAAAGGGTAAATCTGAATATGGACTGGAATTTCGATGCGTATGGTGTGGTGTGGTTGCGGCACCGTATTTGCATGCCCTGATCCCAAAATAAGCACCCCCCTGGGAACAGCCTTAGAGAGAAGGATGCCTCTCATGACGGGAAGAAGGAAAGAACTTTTAAAAGGCAGAACTAGCATTATAGGCTATGACAGGCATAGGCAAACTTGGCCCTCCAGATGTTTTAGGACTACAATTCCCATCACCCCTAGCTAACAGGACCAGTGGTCAGGGATGATGGGAACTGTAGTCTCAAAACATCTGGAGGGCTGAGTTTGCCCATGCCTTTGCTAAGATAAAGAGTAGGAAAAGGCAGCCAAAGGACAGGTATAGCTGTGTGCTTGCTCAGTGTCCAGTGTGATGTAGGAAAAGTTACCTCCCTTTTTAAGATAGCTTATTATTTTAGGTGTTTATAGATAGGAGTGCACTTTCAAGGCTGCTGGTGGTCATTTTGCTTGCCCCACACCTGACATCACATAGTATCAAGTGTGGGAGGAAAATGATATCACAGGCCAAATTAGGACTCCTCTCAGGCCTAATCTGGCCTGCAGGCTGGAAGGTCCTCATGGCTGCTGTGAAGTGAGTGTGAATGTGATTGTGACCCATGTACTCGCAGACATGAGTGTGCTGATCCGGGAGGCTGAGTGAATTGTAGTTCCTTGTTTTGTGAATTGTTTCCAAGCCCAGGTTTGCTGCCAGGTAATATGGGCATGTTACTAAACATGGGCAGGTGGTTCTTCAATGAATAGTTAGACAGTGTACAGAATAGCACTTCAGAACAGCTTTGCCCAGCAATGTCTACCATTTGGGGACTGCAACATGAACTGTGGATGCATGTGGCTAAATAAACCAGCACAGAACCAAAGCCACAAGGAAAGCTTCCATAACCTTTCACTGCCTCAAAACTTTCCAGTCAAAAGTAGTTCACATTCTCTGATGTAAACCACCAAACCACCATGGTCTTATTCATGAGAATCAATCTTCATATTCCATCCTGGCATTACCAGGAATATTACAGCTGGTTCGTGCATGTAAAAAACAACAACAACAGTTTGTTTTGCTGCTGAATAGAGGAATAAGCTAAATGCTGAATGGAGGAATAAGCTAATTTGGGGCTGTGTGATTCAGTCCCTAAGCGGGTGGTTGAGGGCTTCAGTAGTGAAGAATTATATCTCAGGGTCAAACTGTTCATTCATATATGTATATATATATATATATATATACACACACACACACACACACACACAGCCCGTGAAAAATATGTGACTTTACCCAGCTTTTAACATGGCAGCCCAAGACTCCATCCTCCATCTATTGGGCTAATAGTGGCAATTAACATTCTTATTTCTACTATACCACAACAGCACATACTCAGGAGAAATTTCATGAATGCTTGGTTAAGGGCATGGAATGTGAATACTCTGATAAGGAAACACTGGGGCAGGCTATGTACCTTGATGCTTTTTGTTTTCCGAGTTTTTATGCCTCCGTGGAACAAAGCACTCTGTCCCTGCTCAACCTTTGTTGTCAGACACTCTCCCTACAAACCTCAGATCGTAATAAATCTGTTACAACAATTGGCTGTTGAGCAGAAGGCCTGTACTCTGAATGATAAGTGAGGCTTCTGCTCCGTGTGAGCTTGCAAATATTGGCCAAAAGACAACCCTGTGTTTCAATACTATACATGAACAAACTGGAGGAGAGGGAGACCTCACATAGTGGTTATATTAAGACTGCAATCCTAAACCTGCGAACCTGGTGCCATTGAACACAAGTGCAATTTAATTCACACACACAGGATTGTGCTGGCTGGCTGTGGCGCTATGCACGCCTGCTTGGGGCTAAGTCCTGCTGGACTCAATGGAATATATTGCCAAATAAACATGTGTGAGTCACACTAGGAAAACAGGACGAGATCCAGTGTGATCCATCACTGCTAAGTGCCATACGGAGCAACTGGCACCAGTGAAGTTACATAAAATGTAATTTTCACAATATAAAGGAAGATTCACAGCTGCTTTTGGATCACATGGTCTCCCTGGGCACATTTCCATAAATAACTGCAGCTCATCCCTGGGCTTGTGCCTCCGGATGTGTGGCGTTAAAGGAGAGGAGGGAACTTTGGTTCATAAAGTAAACATGCGAATTAACCCTCGGTGACAGATGACCACAAGAAGCCTCTTTGACCCCTCGGGAGGAGTCATATGCTAAACTACTTTAGGGACTGTCAAAAATTACTCCGTGTGCACTCAGAGAAAGCTGCGCCTTAGTGAGATTCTGACTTGGTAAATAAATTTCCCTTCCTTTGAATGTATGTTTCAAGCAAACATCATGCCTGAGGTTTAAATGCATTATGCAGCTGTTTTAATATGATGTCACGATTGCCTTCGTGAAGTTCAGTGGGAGCAGAAATAGCAGGGCGAGTGCACCAAAATAACTGGCTTCTAATCTTCTGCCTTGTGGGTGTGGGAGGGGAAGGAATCCGAGGGCCTGAAAGTAGAGTTAACTTTCACAGGAGCATAATCTAGGGAAAAACCACAGGTGAAATAAGAATCATCACCAGCAAATGTCTGAAGATCAATATGCTGTTAAAGCACAGAAAGGGGCAGGTTTTGTTTTTTGTTTTTTAAGGTCTGCAACCCTTGCTTTTCATATCAGTCTCTGTAGATCTTCAAGGCCTAATCCTTTGCAAGTGAAACATGAAACATCATCCATAAAGGCTGCAATCCTGTACATGTCTACCTGAGTGTGGTACTTAATTCCAGTAGAATTTATTTTATTTTATTTGTTCAATTTCTATACAGTGGACGCTCGGGTTGCGAATGTGATCCGTGCGGGATGCATGTTCGCAACCCGCAGCGGCGTGTCTGCACATGTGCAGGTTGCAATTTAGCGCTTCTGCGCATGCGCGACCGCCAAAACCTAGAAGTAACCCGTTCCGGTACTGTAGCCTGAAAAAACGCAACCTGAAATGTCTGTAACCCGAGGTATGACTGTACTGACTTTCATCTGAGGATCACAAGGTGGTTCACAATATGAAAACACAAAAATACATACCATAATAACAAACGAAAACAGTACCCTCCCCACCCAACACAGTTTTAAAAGGCATAAATTGGTTAATTAGCCAAAGGCCTGGGAGAAGAGAAATATTTTTGCCTGGCACCTAAAGATATGTAACGAAGGTGCCAGGCAAGTGTCCCTGAGGACAGCATCCTACAAGTAGAGAGCCACCACAGAAAAGGCCCATTCTCATGTTGCCGCCATCTGACCCTCATATGCAGGGGCCACACAGAGAAGGACCTTGGATGGTGATTGCAGGGTCCAGGTCAGTTTATATGGGGATAGGCATATCATTGAGGTATTGCGGTCCTGAGCCTTTTATGTAAACGTAGATGACCGTCAGGGTCCCTTCCGACTCTACACTTCTACGATTCTATATAGACAGGGCCAGCCCAACAATGAGGCAAGATGAGGTGACTACCTTAGGTGGCAGGATCTACTGGGGCAGCAGATCCCAATGTTGACCTTTCTTCCACCCTTGTTCCTGATGTAGCTGTTCCCTCACCCTTTCTTCCCTGGTGGGAAGTAGGACGCCATTTTGGGGTCTGTCCCAGGTGCCCAAATGTATAGACCTGCACTGTATATAGACAGCGATGATAAAATCATACAGGCAGCTGCCTAACACCTAGTCAGCCTATTATCAGGCACATCACTGTGGACAGTGAGAGGCAGTTTCAGACCGGGACATTCTCACTCCTACTTAGGAGGTGCCAGGAACTGAACCTGGGGTCTTCTGCGTGCAAATGAGATGCTCTACCAGGGAGCTACCTTCTTCCCCTGAGACAGTTCAGTGGCAACACAGGCTGCTGCAGACAAGTAACAAAAGGAACAGAACAGCGAAAGCCTTATTGTAAAGATCAAAAGCATCTGATGTGCTAATAGGAATGGTGAGGTGCTAAATCCTGATGACAAAGAGGATGGTCAGAGAGCAGCACAGGCTAAAGCCAGATTCAGACAGGATGTACGGCAGGTATACATTTGCCACCCATGGGCAGACCTAACGTTCCCCCAGGTGTGCACTTGCATGGATAATGTCACTTTTGATCAAAGCAATTGTGAATATATATAACCAGCTGGATCACAGCATGCAGGAAAGGCGCTGCTCCATCACGCTGAATTGCTCCTAGCAATTTTTCACATGCCTAAAGAAAAAACGCTTGGGATGGCTCCAATGTAGGCAAAGTGGTTTGTGTGAGCTGATCCCAGGAGACTGAACTAAGCGTCCCCAACCAAGGATTTTTTGTTTTGGTTTTTTTAGATTTTCACTTGATGCACATCCAACCCTCTCTCATCGGCTGCATATTAGTCAGTCTACCTCTATGTCACGTTTGCAACCTGCCCTTTTGCCAAGTCGTTCAATAGTAACTAGTTCCCCAATTTCACCTGCGCATCATCTCTTGGAGGTAGATTCAAGGCTTGGAGATGGGGCCTGGTGAATATCCCTGGTGGTCTAGTGGTTAGGATTGCAGGAAGGCAAACGGTGTTTCCATGCACTCTGGTTTCCATAACAGTATTTCATGCAGGTGGCGCTGTGGGTTAAACCACAGAGCCTAGGGCTTGCCGATCAGAAGGTCGGCGGTTCAAATCCCCACGATGGAGTTAGCTCCTGTTGCTAGGTCCCTGCTCCTGCCAACCTAACAGTTTGAAAGCACGTCAAAAGTGCAAGTAGATAAATAGGTACCGCTCCGGCGGGAAGGTAAACGCCGTTTCCGTGCGCTGCTCTGGTTCGCCAGAAGCGGCTTAGTCATGCTGGCCACAAGACCCGGAAGCTGTACACTGGCTCCCTCGGCCAATAAAGTGAGATGAGCGCCGCAGCTCCAGAGTCGGCCACGACTGGACCTAATGGTCAGGGGTCCCCCCCCCCCTATTTCAATTGCACCAGAAGTGGTTTAGTCCTGCTGGCCACATGACCCGGAAAGCTACCTGCGGACAAACGCCAGCTCCCTCCGTCTTAAAGTGAGATGAGCGGCGTAACCTCATAGTCACCTTTGACTGGACTTAACTGTCCAGGGGTCCTTTACCTTTACCATTACCTGGGAATGTAGCGAACTTTATCATTCAGCTGGTACTGAACCCAGGACTTCTCTCAAGCTCAAAACTCTGCCCACCACAATATTCTAGCCTGCCTCCTGTTTACATTTTGGCATGAGGAGAACCATCCACACTGAGACAAGAATGATCGTGGTACAGCCTCTCCGTACACTGTTCCTTCTTTAAACATACAATCGTCAGTTGTTCCGGTTTTTATTTATTGCTTTAGCACCGTCCGTGTCCCTGGTGCTTCACAAAGATGGGAGAACAACTTCATGCCCATGTGGAACTTACGATACAAGGGAGACAACAGATGAAGAGGTGGGAATAGACAGAGACAAGACAGTACTAAATGCTGAAGCTGGAATGATACATTTGCACAAGACCCATGCAGCAGTATTTGCCTCCTTTCAGATTTATTGGTTTTAATTTTGAATTTTTAAAATTTGTGTTCCCTATAGAGCCAAATGCAATTTAGATTATCTCCAAAATCAAACAGAGAACCAGGGGAGAGGTATCAGGATTGGCTATTGAAGTGAGATCTGGAATTAAACTTTTCAGAAATGAATCCTAGGCTTCCCCCCACTCCCCTCTTCCTGGTTGTGTCTTACTAATTCCAGATAAATAAAGGCAGTATCATGATCTTGATATAGCCAATGCAAATTTGTAGGGTTGTTTCTCAATACAACCTTGCCTGAACCAGATAATATCTCTGCATGTCAGGTTCTGTAAATAAGCTGTGTGTCGGTTTTCATCTGAAAACACAGGCACTCCGGAGTGTTTAATCAAAATTAAGATGCCCTTTGCAACAAAGTCACCCTTCACCATTGCCGAACAACAGTGAAGAATGAACAACTAACCAGCATGAAAACACAAGCAAGCTCTCCTGCAGTCCCACTTACAATTTCTCACCTGTGGCTGGTTTGCTTCAAGTCCTACCCAGACATCAGGGATGGGAAACATCTGGCTCTCCAGATGTTGTTAGACTTCAGCTGCCATCAGCCACCTGCCAGGGCTGGGAAGGCTAGAGACAAGACTGCACAGAGCAACAGGGAAGACTCCTACCTTTCAATGGCAAATTATATCCCAGCAATGTAAAAGTGAGAGATTTGTACCTACATACATTTCCATCCGGGAAAGCAAGAGGCGCTGTTGTTGTTCAAAAAGACACCTGGGCCAAGAAAAACCTTGCCTTGAGTCCTTGTCAGGGCAAAAAGGGGGTATAAATAAATATATTTACCTTGCCTTGCAGGATATCTTTGGGAAAAGAAAAGGCTAAGGAGTAAACCCTGTCCAAATCCGGAATGGAGTCCCTAAGGCAGTTGGATAGTGCCTTGCTTGCCTCCTTCTGCCAATTCCTGCAGCCAAGCTGGTGTCAGACCTCTTGCTCTGCTTTTCTCTGGACCAGTGAGGCAGAGAGGGGAGTCTTGTTGTCTAGGCAGTCCAGGACCTCCACACACTCTGCTGAGGCTTGCACCTTGGAGAGGTCACTGCGGCAGTTTGACTTCATCTCCGGAGACGCACTCCATCGTCTCTCAAAGGCAGATGGATGACAACAACAACAACAACAATGGGAAGGTGTGGGGCAGGTCTAGTGAAGAGCCTAAGGACCAAACAAGGAGGCCTGGAGATACGCATTCAGCTGTTAGGCATGAGGTTTCCCACCAATCTTAAAGGACAGTTTCAGTAATATCATTCTCCCCCTTCTTCTGCATTGAAAGGGCATAAACACATCTTGTGCAGCAAGTTTTTAAAATAATGACACTACATATTTGTGAAGCTGGAGTGAAATGAAGACCAAACGGATGTGTATTAAAGAACTTGCTGCTCTCATTCCAGGGAGCAATAAAACAATAAATATTCAGTGCTCCTAGGCTTAAAAAAAAAATGTCACACTGGATCCAGAGGGTATCAATAAATACCACATCCAACAAAATCTGTGCCTGTCCTTATGAACACGAAATATGTTCTGATGTGCACTTGCTAGAAATAGAGCCCTAATGAACCAGACAGCAGTTCCTTCTGAGTAAGCATATATAGGACTGGACTGTAAGGATGCAATCCTGTGCACACATACTTCACAGTAAGCCCTACTGAACTCAGTGAGGTATGTTTTTGAGTTAACGTAAAAGAGAATAGACACAGGAATATGAGCTGTCAGCATGCGACAACAGCCACACCCCAGGAATGGCTTTGACTGCAGGCTAAGCCAGGAGAGGGTAGCCATTGGGTCTCAAACCCTCAGTGAGTTAGGGCCTTCTCTGCATGTGAAGACAGGGGGTTTTCTGACCTATTAGCCGTCCGCTTTCAGTGTCACTAGTGACACTCCTGGACACTTCTAGCATTGTGGAGTTCTTTGGAGCCGGTCTTCCTATGAGGTGCTCTAGGCAAGGCTGTATATACACTATACATTTAAAAAACATTTAAAGCATGTGATTCCCCCCAAGAAACTGCCTCACAGTACTACAGTTCCCAGCACCCTGAACAAACTGCAGTTCCATGTGCTTTAAACGTGGTATAGTGCATGCACAGGTTAAATGCGCTGTTTCGGCTCTGCTTAAATACTTAATGCGCCGTAGGACAGAAAGAGGAGAAAGGTATGCAATTTTTGTAGGTCTATTTCCACAGTGAGCATAATGCGTTCTCTCAAATCACTTTCCAAGGAGCTAAGGGAACAGATTATGGTTTGGGCATCAGGCCTAAGAGTCCATAAAGTTGGCTCCCAAATATTTTCTAGCTCACTACTGCTCTCTGCTGATGGATCTTACATATTGAATAGGCCTGTTTTCACTACCCTACCTGCTGAAAATCCATGAAGATAATGATTGCAAAGAGATCCTTCTTTTTAACTTCTTTAGGGGAATATCATTCCCAGTTTGATGCGACATTTCTAAAGTTTGCCAATGAGACCTCTCCCAGAACTAAGTGCTCCATCTCACACCGTTTATGCACCAAAAGTGGCCCATCCATAGAAAAACCTAACTCCTTTTAGGTGTGTGTGTGGAGAGTACACATTAATACTACCTACAGTACAACAGCAGCCAAGAAGCTCAATACAAGCTTTCCACAAAAGGGAACCCTGTGATAACAAAATCTCCTCCAAAATCTATGGATGGTGTGAATGGCAGTTTGCATTTCTTGGTACAGAAGGTGTTGATCTGATGTGTAGAGATCTTTCCTATTCTAATTAATTCAAGAGGGTTCTCAAAGCTGCTCTGTGCGAAAGAAACAAGCAGAAGGTTCATGATGTTTGGGTTATTCCTTCAGAGAAGTTTACAGCTGGCTTAAACTGGTTCTGTTATCTTTTTCTGTCAAGGTCATGCTGATTAAGGCCAGAAGGGTTTCACTTTTTTCTATCTCTCTTTCCAACTGAAACTGTATATAGTATGCTTAGTCTTAAAACAGTTCCAATCCTGAATGTATTGGATTTGTGACCATGATGCTCCTTTGCCTTCAGTAGTAGTAAAGCTCTGCTGGACGGAATATTAATTGCCTCTGCTGTATTTTTTGAGAATCCTGCAACGAATTTAAGTTTTTTACTCTGCTAACTATACATTGGAGTTTTGCTCTGGATCAATGTTGAGTAGAATTCATGACAGTGAAGTGATTATAGTCAAACCTTGGAACTTGAAAGTAATCCGTTCCGGAAGGACATTTGACTTCCAAAACGTTCGAGTTCCAAGGCGCGTCTTCTGAGGAACATTAAAAAACTGAGACGTTCGGCAATGGAGTGGTTCGAGAACTGAGGTTTAACTGTATAGCAAATATTATAAACTAGGGGTTGGTCCCCTACCCAGTCACCTCACCAACCTCCCTGCCATCCCCCCCACATCAACCCACAGTGTCCCCTGTTATGGGACTACAACTCCCATGATCCCTAGCTAACAGGACCAGTGGCCAGGGATGATGGGAATTGTAGTCTAAAACATCTGGAGGGCCAAAAGTTGGGGGTGCCTGGTATAAAGCTTTATTCATGTATGTGACTACAGCAGCAAGGATATTACTTGCCCCAAAATGGAAAGAAGTCCCAGCAAAAGAAGAACGGATACAAAAACATGCGGAATATGCAGAAATGGCAAAACTTACCGGAGAAATAAGAAATCAAGATAACAAACTTTTTATAAAAGAATGGAAATGGTTTATGGAATATTTGCAAGCAAACTGTAAACAGATAAGAACATTGGCAGGATTATTGTAATAACCTGCAGTTTTATAAGAGTATATATTTAAAGTACAGCAGATGAATAAACGAGCAAATTAAGTTTATTTGGATATGCAGAAAATATTAAAAATATATTTAAGGAACCACAGAAAGAGGGGGAAGGAAGTCAGGTTTTGAAATGTTAAAATGATTGTAAAATTATTGAAATGTATAAAACTGAAAATCATAAATAAAATATAAAAAGGGGGGGGAAGAAGAGAAGGTTGAGTATAGTTGATGGGCGTTGTACATATATGGAGGTTTGCTTGTTCAATTCAATTCTCAAACCTTTTATTGGCATCACATACAAACATCCATAGCAAATCAATACAGTGGTACCTCGGGTTAAGTACTTAATTCGTTCCGGAGGTCCGTTCTTAACCTGAAGCACCACTTTAGCTAATGGGGCCTCCTGCTGCTGCCGCGCCACAGGAGCACGATTTCTGTTCTCATCCTGAAGCAAAGTTCTTAACCCAAGGTACTATTTCTGGGTTAGTGGAGTCTGTAACCTGAAGCGTATGTAACCCGAGGTACCACTGTACAGAATTACCACCTTCCCAGTGACACAAAACATTTGTCCATTGAAAGAGGCAAAGCAGTGTAACATTACATCTCTAGGTCTCCAGGGAGATCAGACGTCTGCAATGTGTTTCGACAACAAAAAACCAGATAAAGATCATAGAATCATAGAATCATAGAGTTGGAAGAGACCACAAGGGCCATCGAGTCCAACCCCCTGCCAAGCAGGAAACACCATCAGAGCACTCCTGACATATGGTTGTCAAGCCTCTGCTTAAAGACCTCCAAAGAAGGAGATTCCACCACACTCCTTGGCAGCAAATTCCACTGTCAAACAGCTCTTACTGTCAGGAAGTTCTTCCTAATGTTTAGGTGGAATCTTCTTTCTTGTAGTTTGGATCCATTGCTTCGTGTCCGCTTCTCTGGAGCAGCAGAAAACAACCTTTCTCCCTCCTCTATGTGACATCCTTTTATATATTTGAACATGGCCACTAACTTGGTGAGCTCCTGATTATTCCCCAATAACAGAAAATGTATGACCTCTAACTCTAGTTTCCATTAGGGGATGCAGAGTTGATCTAGGGTACACAACGTGGGACAGCAAAAATCTTAAAAAGGAAAGCTGCCTGCACTCGTTCTACCAGCTGGATAAACCCTGGCAGCTAGACTGGAATTCCGTTGAGCAATTGAGCTATAACTTTGGCATTGAAGACCTTGAGGGCAGAGGGGATATGCGAATTACCTCTTGTTATAAAGAAACACATTATGGCCTACATAGACATCTTACTGGCATTCACCGCCGTTGCACGATGCGTGGACCATAGAAGCCTATGATGGAATGTGATTCCCAGGTAGTTGAATTCGAATACCTGCTGGAGGTTTGCTTGTTAATGAGCTATCACTTCCAAATTACTATGTTGAATATGGAACTTCATGTTGAAGACAACACATGGAACTAGCAATGAAATACATTGTGTGAAAGTACTACGAGCCGTTTGAGGGCTCTGCATCCTTTATCTCTTTTACATGAGGCTGCTGAGGAATGAAAGAGGGAGACATTTAAGTACAGTGAGAAGGGAGAGACTCTGCAAGGGGGAAAGGGGCTGTTCTAGACAGCAGCAGAAGTTTGAGTAAAGCAGAGATGGAGAGACACTGAGGGGCTTTTGATGTTTTTTGTTTTTTAAATGAACCAGTTTTTACAAGGAAAAATAGTAGAGATGGGCACAGCTCTCAAGCTTATACCAAAAAGCAAACACAACACACCCCTTCCAAACTACCTTCTTGCTGTGCAGTTTTAAACCAGATGACTTTCAAGTATCATCTAAACTGGACTTTTAACTGCTTTGCAAAAAGAGCAGGTGTAGTAGAGTCCGTGCTCCTGTCTCGTTTGTATAGGAAATCAATCGGGCACCAGGTCTTTAAATATATCTTTTGCTTCTCTGAAGTAAAGGGCGTTACAGATACAGATCTCTGGAGCGATGTAGGTTAATTGAAGTACATGTAATAATGTAATCTGGGTGCTGGCTTTGTACCACATGGTATACAAAGCATTTGGTATCTTATAAACACGCTGAATAGATCACATCCTAGCGATGAAAAACCCAGGGGGGACCAAAATAAATACAGGTAAATAATGCAGAGGTTTGGGAAGCAGGCATTTCTGCTGGAAAACAAAAAGCATTCTGTCCCTTTAAAACAAGGTGTTTCAGATGCACCAGAAGGTAAAGGTACTGAGGGGGAAAGCTGGGAGGAGAAGCAGATGTGGGCGAGGACAGCGACCATATGAATTATCTGAGTCAGAGCCACACACACATAATTCCTGAGACACTTATTTTCAGACAGATTATGAATGCAGCTAAAGTGGCCTGTGAGGGAAACAGAAGGCGGCTGAGCCAGAAGCCGATTCTTTATTTCCTACAGTTTAACTTGGTGACCTTTGCGGCTCCATCGTATACGATTGGAATGGCAGATTTG